TGAAAATAATAACTCATCGGTTTACACCAAACACAGAACAATAACTATATAGTATCTGCTGAGTTGAGAGTAATAACTCATCGGTTTACACCAAACACAGAACAATAACTATATAGTCTCTGCTGAGTTGAGAGTAATAACTCATTATTCTTCAACAAACACAAAACAATAACACATCAGCCTATTGAGTTGAGAATAGCAATTTTTTGGTCTTCAACTAACACAGAACGAAAACTTACAAATTTCTGCTAAGTGAAGAATAATAACTCATTGATATTCGTTAAACACAGAACAATATTTGGCCAGTCTCTTCTGAATGAAAAATAGTAATAATCGGTCTTCATTACGCATAAAATAACAACTTACAGGTCTTTGCTGAGCGGAGAATAATAACTCATTAATGTTTGTGTGATAATAAATCTTGTCAGTCCTCACCGATATAATGTTTGTTTACTACCTTCAACTATACGAAAGAATAACCATCCCCTAGCGACCGCATAGTAATAATCACCAATTACTTTTTATCTGTTTATTTAATATAAATGGAATGGATAACTAACCTGTCTGACCCATTCATTTCTTCTCTCGGCGATGTCCTGGTACGTTTTCCCCATCATAGCAATCAGCATGTTAATCAACAGAATAGTGACTAGAGCCATGTACATGATGAACAGAACCTTCAGTATGCGAGATCAAAATAACATGATCCTATTAACGAAAATAATAAGTATGTCGGGGCTTTACTCTTCTATCTGTTTCCTAAATTACTGATAGCGATAGAGGAACTTTCGTAACTTTTTACGTCGCTTTACATGTTTTTATTAACTACTACATGTTATTACTAGGTCGTTACGCCACTTTAAATATTTTATTATTATCTGTTAACTAATAAAGAATATTAACAGGTCATTACAAATTAAAATATTTTATTATATATTAACCACTAAATGTTATTACTAGGTTGTTACATCATGTTAGAATATTTTATAAACAGTGAAATATTAAATGATATTACTAAAATTTTACACCACCTTTATTTATTGTAAACTTTTGACGCAACATTATACATAATTTCATAATTCAGTAAGCCTTGTTCTGTGTCTTAAACAAAAAACTCCTGATACGTAGGTTCACTAACCAATATGGTCTTACCATTAATTTGTTTAATCAATACAGTGTAGTAGGAGATCACGTTTTGTGTTTAGTGTTAGTTGTCTGTTAAAATGGCGCTGAAGCTTTTCATTTTACTTCATCAAATAATTGGCTGTTTTCAGCAAGTAATCTTTGATCTATTATTTAATTTAGTAAAGTAACGGTGTATCTACTGAATTTATAATCAAACTCTAAAAAAAAGTGTTTTATTTTCATCCTGGTTTGTTTTTCTGGAGATAAAGAAACTTCAACTCAATTCAACTCGCCAGAGTCGCTCAAATTTCTGCATCATTAACGTTTTTCGTATTCACTTCTGTTTTTCTCTTTTCATCAACAAAAGTATTGATTGGTGTTTCGTTTTCTGATTACTAATTACACATTAAAATTTCATAAAGTTAACATTCTTGTTGCATAATAAGTTTTAAATATGCATATGACAACGGTTTTCTTTATTTGTTTGTAGTTAAGCGCAAAGCTACACAATGGGATATCTGTGTTGTACTCATCATAGGTATCGGAACTTGGTTTTTAGTGTTATAAGTCTACGGACGTACCGCTGAGCCATTGGGAGAATATTACAACAGAATATCATAAATTATTCAAATATAATTAGTTAACTAAAACATATATTAAACTGGCTAGTTTTAGTGTATGAAGCTGCTAATATAAATGCTTAATCTAGAAATTAATATAAGATATTGACAAAATATGTTGAATTTGAACTAATTGTTATTATAACTGGATTTATGGCGCAAAGTATATTTAGCTCTTTACACTAAGAGGGAAAATACCGGGAAGGCCAAAGAAAAATCCTTAACTTGGGGTAAATTTTCTCATTTCTTTTATTATTTGTAACCGATATCATTCTCAACGGTAAGCATGAGTGCTTATAACGCTACAATTCGTGGTGTGATCCCTTCCATTGGCACAACACATATAGCCCATTGTGTGTTAATTAACTAATCAATAGTCTAGTTTACCGATACATCGGGGAAATTACAACATTTCAACACATATTAACAAATAGAATTCATCCTTAATACACAGGACTTAGCAGGAACTGATGGTTAGGGCGCTTGATCCGAAATCTGCGAATCACGAGTTCGAATCTCATCATCGAACATGCTCGCCTTTTAAGCCGTGGGGGCGTTATAAAGTGACAGTAAATCTCAGTATTCATCGATAAAGAGTAGCCCAAGAGTTGTTGTTGGATGGTGTTGACCTTTTATTTAGTCTATCGCTTCTAAATTAGGGATGGTTTGCGCAGATAGCCCTCGAGTAGCTTTGAGCAAAATATACAAACAAAAATATAGTACTTTATTTTTTATTGTCCATTACCTATTAACTGATATTAGGAGAACTGTATATCACGTTAAGATTTTTTGTATTTCCTGATTTTGTATACCTATTCTAAAAGTGAAATTATCGCACATACAGTAGAACCGGGCGTTGCCTATTGGTTAGCGTGCCAGGACTGTGAATTCGAAGGTTCTTGGTTTACGTCCTATTGCCGCAAATAATGTTAATAATAAAACTGCAGAGAGCAGCCGAAGAGCTGGTGTTGGATGCTGTTTAATAGCTGCCTGCTCTCTGGTCATTCAGTTTGAAATTAGGAACGTTGATGCATAGATAGCCCTTGTACGAAAATTTTAACTAAATGAGGCTTATATGCTATGGCGATCTAAATACTCTCCATACTTCAGAAGAGGTACAGTAATACTTAACAAACGTAAACTAGATAACTTACAGATTTCAGCAAAGGCAACATTTTAGTTCATGGACATTTATTTACCTTCATAGAGCAAGATTGACAGTAACTTAACTCAGTATTGGTGAAAAAAATATAAAAAGTGAAATTTTACATTAAAGGTGTAATATGAATACAATATAATCTTACTTTAGCGGTAGTAGGATGAGCCGTATGTTCAAAGGCCTCATACATGTCTCCAAACTCCGACAAAGACATGACGAACATAGCCATGATGCTAGATACTGGACTCTTGAAGAAGTTATTCCCTTCGCCATTGTGAGTTAGGAATATGACGTAGTATGCTGAAAATAACAGAAACAAGAATCTTGTGCACCGAAAAACGGAAATTCTGCTTTAATTCGATTCAAACGGTTTAAACATGTTTTGAAACTTGATTTTCGCACTTTAAAAAACTATTATCACATTTTTTAATCTTATCACTCACCAGCTTGGCTTTAAGTGTTTATAATTTCTAATCGCTAGGATATTTAACTGGTTTGTGAGAGTACATCTTGTGACAAAACCAAACTCACCCTTCTGCAATTACTTAGATTTACGAAATGTTTTCGTAATTTATATTTTAATTTCAGTCAGTTCTTTATTCTATCGTATTTGTCTTAAAATGAATAATTCTCAGTAAAAATAGTTTATTCTGTTTGTAATGTGTTTCATCAGAGTTTGAGCTAAAAAATAAGCAAATTTCTCAAGACAAGATTTTAAACAGTTAAAAACTTCAATAAGGAATTGTTACATTTCTATTTTTCGGATCTGATAACTCACGGAAGAAACAAATCAATACTGAAAGAAAATACTGGTAATCCTCCAGTTCAAATATGAAACACAAAAAATCAAATGAAAAATATAAAAAATGAGTAAAATATATTGATTATAAAAAGGTCGTTTAAAGTAATATTAAAAGAATGTTAAAGTATCATAATTGAGTATAAAAGACAAACATTCCCAAAAATTGCATATAGTTTAATTACTGCTTTATTCCAAATTATTTATATTAATTTGGCGAGTGGCATTTATTTCTGATGCCATTTGATATTTAACTGACGACAAAACAAATAATCCTGTAAAAATGTATTTCATCAAGTGCTAAAACATAAATACACAAAGGTAAAATATTGAATACACGTGTTACAAAAAACGTAAGGAGCTAAAACACATGCATTAAAATAAAAATAAATACATGTTACTATAAGCATAACGTACTGAAGTATATGTATTACGATCAACGTAAAGTACTAAAATATATGTATTACAATAAGGTGTTATAACACATGTATTGCGATAAAAATGAAGTACTGAAGTACATGTATTACGATAAAAATGAAGTACTGAAGTACATGTATTACGATAAAAATGAAGTACTGAAGTACATGTATTCCGATAAAAATGAAGTACTGAAGTACATATATTCCGATAAAAATAAAGTACTGAAACAAGCAAAATTTCTCAAATAGTCATAAATAATATGAAAAGTCTGTCTTGAAACAATAAAATGGTATCACTATACAATTGTAGGCATTATATTTTTTACAGCGAACATAGGATGATATTAGTATATATCTTTAGGATTAGATCCCTTACAGCGGAAATAAGCTGGTATTAGTATGCATTTGTAAGAATAGATAATTTACAGTAAACACTGGATGGTATTAGTATACATATGTAGCATTATACTTTTATTAATAAGTTGGGCAAAAACTGAAAAATTCAGTAAATTAATATTTGACGTTCATATAGAAAAAACAACGCGAGCAGTAAGTGGGAAAAGTTTATAAAAATGTTTATCAATCGAAGGATGTTGGGTAAGACAGTTAATTCGTGACAATATACTAGGTAAAGTAAATAAAGACTTCATTGTATATCCATGTGTTGCTGGGTAAAGTGAATAAAAACTATATTACGTATTCTAGTGTTGCTGTGTCAAAGTACTAGGTAAACAGAAGAAAGACTTGATTACGTATTCACTTGTTGCTATGTCAAATTACCAGGTAAAGTGTTATAAAGGTTTGATTATATATTATCGTGTTGTTGTGTCAAATAACAAGGTAAAGTGTTATAAAGACTTTATTATGTATCCATGTTTTGCTGTGTCCAGTTACGAGTTAAAGTGAATAAAGACTTGATTATGTATCCATGTTTTGCTGTGTCCAGTTACAAGTTAAAGTGAATAAAGACTTGATTATGTATCCATGTTTTGCTGTGTCCAGTTACAAGTTAAAGTGAATAAAGACTTGATTATGTTTCCATGTTTTGCTGTGTCCAGTTACAAGTTAAAGTGAATAAAGACTTGATTATGTATTCACACGTTGTAGTATCAAGTAAATAGGTAAAGTGAATAAAGATTCTTTTATGTATCCATGTTTTGCTGTGTCAAATTATTAGGTAATATGAATAAACACTTGTTTACATATTCCCGTGTAGCTGTGCCAAGTTACTAGGTAAAGTGAAAAATATTTGATTAAGCATTAACGTGTTGCTATGTCAGTTTACTAGGTATAGTGAAAAAAATAGATTATGTATTCACGTGTAGCAGTATCAACTTACTAGTTAAAGTGAATAAATGTCTTGATTAAGTATCCACGCGATGCTATGCCAAGTTATTTGGTAAAGTGAATAAAGACTTGATTATGTATTCATGTTTAGCTGTGTCAAGTTACTAAGTAAAGTGAATAAATGTCTTGATTAAGTATCCACGCGATGCTATGCCAAGTTATTTGGTAAAGTGAATAAAGACTTGATTATGTATTCATGTTTAGCTGTGTCAAGTTACTAAGTAAAGTGAATAAATGTCTTGATTAAGTATCCACGCGATGCTATGCCAAGTTATTTGGTAAAGTGAATAAAGACTTGATTATGTATTCATGTTTAGCTGTGTCAAGTTACTAAGTAAAGTGAATTTTGACTTGATTATG